AGCAAATGTGCCCCTCAATAAGACATTGTTTGATTGCGAAATGGAGCATTTGTATGCTGTCGAGGTACTGCCAAACCAGCCGTGCGAGATTGTCATGTGCCGGTACTTCAAACCCGTCGAGATGTGGCGGTACTGCCTGGAAGTGTACGCTGAGCTAAGCAGGGTTATGTGCTCTTGTTTTGACCATTTCTCGTGGTGTTCTGGTATATTTATGGGTGAGGTTGTGATGTTAACTTGTATTTACATGCTCGGTTATCGTGCTTTTCTTTCAAGTCTGAAGTTCAAGTTCCAGTCTCAAGTTATTCCATTATAAGTCTTATTTCTGTAGTAATTAGCAAGGAAAGAAACCATGTTCAACTTCTTATTTATGCAGCACAAAACGTGTTCCGTAATTGAAGTTTCCGCACCTTGCTAAACATTTTGTTAGAACTTTTTTAGAGCCAAATGACGACGATATTTGGAAATGGCGCTCACGGACGCCAGATCTAAACGGCTGAACGTTAATGGTCAACCTGGCTGTGAACGTCGCCTGGCCTGTGGGTAGCAGGATTCAATGACGTTGCTGTGGCGTCAAGCATGCCTGAATGGCTTTAAAATAGGCCTTGCGAAGTAGTCTGCACATCTTCGTGGGTGTGTTACTCAGAACCTACAGGGGTTTAGGTCTTAATAGGGCCAGGGCTGTAAACTGCACCGAATGCTCTTCAAAATGGTTATTTCAGCTCAGAACCCCATACGAATGTGGAGACTTACGGATTACGAACCTTGTGCGGTTCGGAACCCTTAAACAGATAACGAACCTTTTGCGGCTCGTTATCGTTTTTTGCGGGATGAACGGCGGTCGCGATACGTCCGCGCCCAGCCAGGTTCGTTGCGCATCTGGAGACCGGAGGGGGGCTGAGGTGACTCGAGGTGGCATGTCACCAGGCAGGCTCCGCTGTGTCGGGCTGCTGTGCAGCTCGGCCTGGCCGTGCCTGCGCTGCGTCGCCACATCTCTGACTGGGTGCCAGCACGGGCGGATGCTGCGTCGCCACACCTCTGACTGGGTGCCAGTACGGGCGGACGCTGCGTCGCAACACCTCTGAATGGGTGCCAGTACCGGCGGATGCTGCGTCGCCGCACCTTTGACTGGGTGCCAGTACCGGCGGACGCTGCGTCGCAACACCTCTGAATGGGTGCCAGTACCGGCGGACGCTGCGTCGCAACACCTCTGAATGGGTGCCAGTACCGGCGGACGCTGCGTCGCAACACCTCTGAATGGGTGCCAGTACCGGCGGACGCTGCGTCGCAACACCTCTGAATGGGTGCCAGTACCGGCGGACGCTGCGTCGCAACACCTCTGACTGGATGCCAGTACCGGCGGACGCTGCGTCGCAACACCTCTGAATGGGTGCCAGTACCGGCGGACGCTGCGTCGCAACACCTCTGAATGGGTGCCAGTACCGGCGGACGCTGCGTCGCAACACCTCTGAATGGGTGCCAGTACCGGCGGACGCTGCGTCGCAACACCTCTGAATGGGTGCCAGTACCGGCGGACGCTGCGTCGCAACACCTCTGAATGGGTGCCAGTACCGGCGGACGCTGCGTCGCAACACCTCTGAATGGGTGCCAGTACCGGCGGACGCTGCGTCGCAACACCTCTGAATGGGTGCCAGTACCGGCGGACGCTGCGTCGCAACACCTCTGAATGGGTGCCAGTACCGGCGGACGCTGCGTCGCAACACCTCTGAATGGGTGCCAGTACCGGCGGACGCTGCGTCGCAACACCTCTGAATGGGTGCCAGTACCGGCGGACGCTGCGTCGCAACACCTCTGAATGGTGCCAGTACCGGCGGACGCTGCGTCGCAACACCTCTGAATGGGTGCCAGTACCGGCGGACGCTGCGTCGCAACACCTCTGAATGGATGCCAGTACCGGCGGACGCTGCGTCGCAACACCTCTGAATGGGTGCCAGTACCGGCGGACGCTGCGTCGCAACACCTCTGAATGGATGCCAGTACCGGCGGACGCTGCGTCGCAACACCTCTGAATGGATGCCAGTACCGGCGGAGGCTGCGTCGCAACACCTCTGAATGGGTGCCAGTACCGGCGCCGCGCGTCGCAACACTTGATATGGGTGCCAGTACCGGCGGACGCTGCGTCGCCAACACTCTGAATGGGTGTCCAGTACCGGGTGCTTACCGCGACGCTGCGTCGCAACACCTCTGAATGGGTGCCAGTACCGGCGGACGGCGCGTCGCACCACTCTGAATGTGCCAGTACCGGCGGACGCTGCGTCGCAACACCTCTGAATGGGTGCAGTACGGGCGGACGCTGCGTGCAACACCTCTGAATGGGTGCCAGTCAGGACCGCGTCGGACGCTGCGTCGCAACACCTCTGAATGGGTGCCAGACCGGCGGACGCTGCGTCGCAACACCTCTGAATGGGTGCCAGTACCGGCGGACGCTGCGTCGCAACACCTCTGAATGGTGCCAGTACCGCGGACGCTGCGTCGCAACACTCTGATGGGTGCCAGTACCGGCGGACGCTGCGTCGCAACACCCTGAAGGGTGCCAGTAGGGGCATACGGCGGACGCTGCGTCGCAACACCTCTGAATGGGTGCCAGTACCGGCGGACGCTGCGTCGCAACACCTCTGAATGGGTGCCAGTACCGGCGGACGCTGCGGTCGCAACACCTCTGAATGGGTGCCAGTACCGGCGGACGCTTGGGCCCGCGAGACCCGCATCAGGGTTCCGGTTCAAGTATGTCTGTAACTGTCCAGCTGCTGAGAGCATTGAAAGACCGTAGGGATATATTTTGGGAATTGTCCGGACTTAGTAATGCCGGCGCTCAGAATTGCATTTACGAAGTATTATTCGTTTCCAAGAAATGCGTGAGCAAGTAGCATAATATGATGGGGTGTACAGTATTGTGATTAGGTGAGGTGTTGTAACGTCTGTTTTAGCTGAAAAATCGTTTTCGTATTTGGCTGTACCTAGTTCAGGTGAATGACGTGGTCAAGAGGCTCAAAAATGCATCTCCAACAGGTCTTGAAGATTGCCGGAAACAATGTAACCGGCCGGCGATTTTTCGTGCGGACGTGGGGGGATTACAGGGAATTAAGGGTAAAATAGGACCATTCGTTCCACGTGACACCAGACGTGGTGGCCCAAGGCGTGATATCGGGTTTCGAGATTACAGTCGCCACGTCCCCATCTCCTCGGGCAGATTACGCCGTTCCTGATCTATATTCGGATACTGAAAGGCGCTTGGCATAAGAAGCTCCGGTGAGTTGATTCAAAAGTGGCTACTCAGTTTGTGAGCAGCAACAGATATCAGCAGACACAATGTGCCTCCTGGAAGCCAATCAAGTAAAGTCCTGCGAGAGCGTGGGACGACCGCAAGGGAGGTTCTAAAGAAAGCCAGACGCGGACGCGGATGTGCCAGATGAGCTCAGCGGTGGGTTGAGCGCCGCCACCTCCGTCTCGATCTCGGCGGCCGGCGCCGAGGAGTGGCACCCTGCCACCAGCGGTTAGGCCGTGGGCGGAGCGCGTCCCGGTACGGCACTGACGTAGTCGGTCCACCGGCCGGGGCGTCACCACGGGGATGTGGAGCGGGATGTGTCGGCGCCGCTCCGCGCGCGCGCGCCGGCCGGCTATCCGGCTCGCTCGGCCTTCCGCGTTCCTCGCCGGCCGGACCTGGGGCCGCCAGCGCGGCCGGGCGTCCCCCGCCGCACCGGTGGCTCACCGCCAGCCGGCCGTCAGAGAGCGTGCGGGGGGGGGGGGGGGGGTGCGTCGACGTCCGCGAGGCACAGCGTCGTCGTGCAGGAGGCTATGCGTCGTCGCCTCGCCCGCGGGCCGGCGACGGACAGCGCGTGCTCCGCAGCGGCGCGCGGCCGGGCCGGGCTGTCAGCTGACGGCCGGGCAAGGCCGCCGTGTGACGCACCCGGCGGCGGCGCTGCAGGAAGATGGGCCCGATCTGGCGCGGCAGGCCGCGGCCCGGACACATCTGCATAGGCGCCGCCGACATATAACGACGTGCGGCCGCGCCGCCGGCAGTTGTGTCATGCGCCGGGGAGGACGGGGGCGGCTGTGCTGCCATGGAGCTGGCACCAGCTGCGGAGCCTCCGGCGGCCTGCTCGCTGACCGGTACGTGGGGGCGCGGCGGCGCCGGCGGCCGCGCTCTGTCGGCCGGCTCGCCGTGGTGTCACTGCTCCGGTATGCGGCCGGCCGGCGACGCGGCCCGGCCTCGCTCGGGGCACGCGCGGTGGCGCGACTGGAGGCAGTGGACGGCCGCGCCGCCGCCCGTCACTGCCGGACCGGAGCCGTCGGTGCTGTCTGGGGCTGCGGGAGGGGCGACGGCGGTGCCGGAGCGTTACTAAACCGCGGCGAGTGACGGCTCCAGGCGGCGGGTGCGGCGGCAGGTTCGTTTTGGCGGCTGGGGATGTCGCCCTGCGAAACGAAGACCTGGTGCTCCTCTGACCCATCTCCTGGAGGGTTTGTTGTGGTTGAGACCCCGTGTACACCGATAATACTGATGTTTGTGTACAGTAGCCGCACACCGTCGTGCAATGCGGTCGGAATGCCGCAGTTTCATCCACCAGTTAACGTGTTAGTTGCGATCGTATCATTTTCAGCTGGATGGAGAATGCTACTTGACGCCGTTACGCTTCTGGTAAAAGGTCCCATAGCACCGCTTTCAGAAATGCATAGTCATTATCTCCCGCCGGGTCTTATGGGTTCCGTGTGGCTGCCTCGTCGGTGGCTGTTTTAGCTTCTTGCACACGAACGATTACGCCAAATGTCACTGGCCGGATGTCGACGTTGTCCATGTTGATGTTGCCACCCCACCGCACCGGCGGCGGGTTGGCAATATTGGACCGGATGTTGCATCTGCTCTGGACCGGATGCTGGATCCGATCCGCTGCTGCCATTTCCGCCCGTGCGCTGTCGGGAGCTCGTGCTACCGCGTGATCCCGGCGCGCGTCTGCGGGCCGTTCTGACGTACCCGTCCGTTCCAGATCGCGAGCGGTACGACCCGCGGCGCTTCCAGGGTCAGGGCGTGACCTTCAAGGGCAAGCTGATCGGCGTGCTGGCGGTGGCCGAGGCGCGCGGCGACCGCATGTGTCAGGACGCGCTGGCCGAGCTCAAGATGGCAATCCGTGCCGCCGGCGAGCACAAGCAGAAGGTGGTCATCAGCATCGGCATCGACGGCCTCCGGCTGCGCGACGAACGCTCGGGGGTGAGTGGCGTCAGGGCTGGTCCGGGCCTCGTGCTGACCAGCAGCTGACGGCCTCCGGTGGGGGTACGGGCGCCGCGGGTCGGCGGGCGCACGTCTCCCGCGGGCTAGAAATGCCATGTCCGGGGCTGGTTGGGCGCTGCTGTGACGAACCCGTCGGCGGCGTTTCTGATTTCGGAAGGGTAGGTGGATCTGCTCTCCCGTCCCCAAGGCTCATATGTTTCTAGACTGTAGCAGGTCCGAGATTGTCACAGGTGACGAAGCCCATAAACCCGGAACGGGGCTGCTTTTCCTTCCGTGCGTTTTTCCGGGTTGTGCAATGTGCATGACGGCCATTTCGTCCTGACAGGACCTTGGACGCTGAGCACGTGACTTGGAAAGTCCGGACATTGCCAGTTATTGACATTCAAAGTAGTGCAACGCACATGGTAGTATGTTATGTATATATATATATATATATATATATATATATATATATATTCGGCTGAATAGTGTCCCATGATCGGGAAAAAAGTTCAGAAGGGTGCCTATATTACTTTGTGACGGCTTATTGGTCCTACTAACATCATCGGACAACATAGGCACAATTATGCATAACAACAGCATACAAAACATTGGTGGTGGTGTCGGCTCAAAATTGCATCGCTGCGCTTGTTTTGATCAAAATGGGTCATTTGGTTTTATGAAAAGCTGGTCGCATGCGCAGTACTGGTGGGCACCTCGTATAATGGTGAACACCAGTAGGGCCCTTACCCGGCTCTGTCGTCCCCCTGTATAACGCCTATTCTTAAGCGCCAGGGGCTGTCCCATCGCATGACCAATGCCCTGCACTTCCATCTGCCGGAGGATTGTTGAACCTTTGTCTCGGATACAAACGACTTCTGGGAATTTTGTTTTCGCTTTTTTTGCATGCTTTTACCAAGCCAGCATTATGGAATACTCCACCAATTCGGAGCGACGTACTGTCCTTCGTTGAGCTGGTTTCACGTCCCGCTCTGGTGCACTGTCATATTGGTAGCTTGGTCGTAATATTGCTGATGTGTGCGTTTTGTCGGCGCGCACAATCGATGGAGCATTTGAACTCCTCGACAACGTTTGTGATTTTTAATAGTCAGTTATTTGCGCGATATTATAGGTTGGCTGTATAAAAGTCGCCTCAGGCATCCTAGTCACCTGACGAAGAATCGTCGTCCAAAATATGGTGATATTACTTGAGCGTTTCTACTATTTCTGCACTTTTGTTGGCAGGACGAATGAACCGTTACAAAGTAATGACGGCATGCGTCTGTACCATTTTTCTGACCACGGGAAGCGTTTTATTCGGAGAATAGGATCATTATCTAAGACGCAAGTCAATGTCACGCATGCTGTCATTATCAATGAAATAAGTCTCCGGAAAACTTGCAGCTAATTTCACTATGATATTTTTCACTATTGTATTATGCTACCTATGTATTTATAGCTATATATATATATATATATATATATATATATATATATATATATATGTATATACATGCCAGGTGATTATGTGGTAATATTATCTGTCATGTATGCAATGTAATATGTAACATGAAGATGCGGTGTGCCGATGTGATAATGCAGTAATGCGACAATGAGTGAGAGACAGTCGGACAAATTTAGCCGATGACTGATACATCCTGTCTGATACTGGTCAGCCCGGTGTTCCGTTCCGGTGGGTTTTTCCGTGGTCAACCATCCCCGGATGCAACGGTTTGGATGCTGGCGGCCGCTCCAGGAACTACGTCTGTGAATGAGCTGCTGTTGGGCCCCGCCAGGCCTGAGGGGGAGAGGGACGAGGAGCCAGTGAGGAGGAGGTGCCGGCATCCGCCAGATCCGCGGGGCCGGGCTGAGCGGTGTGGGGGGGGGGGACAGCCGCGGCCCCTGCAGCACTCGCCGTGGCCCGGATCGGCCGCGCAGCTGGGAACTCGGGCCGCCCCCACCCTCACCCCCGCCCCTCCCCGCCTCCGCCCGCGGATGTGTACCTGTGACTCACGGCGTGTTGCCCCGGCCCACTTGAGCCAGTTGGCCGCTCTGTGTCGCACCATTGGAGCGGCCTGATCGGGGGGCGGCGGCTCAGCGGCGCCGGGAGGGACCGAGCAGGGCCACCGCCGTGCCGGGCCGCCGAGAGCTCCGCCAGCGGCGGGCTTCGGCCGGGTTAGATTCCCTCACAGCGTGAAAGGACCGGATCGGCTTACATGCAGATCCGAAGCCACGTGACACTGACGAGGGCGTTGTACGTGGATATGTATTTTTCAGTGGGGGTAGTCGGCTGACGGTCGTTTGAGTCATAACGGCAGTATTGTATGTTCAAAAGCTGTGCACGCTCAAGACTCGATATCTGAGGAGTTGACAGGCAGATGTCGTGACGAATCGAGAACCCAGCACGACCAGAGCCTAAAGGCCATTGCCAGTTCAGACGGCAGGGTCTCGGAAGTGTTCGCAGTTATCACGCCACATCAGCGCCTGAAGCGTCACAGGAAGCTGGAAGGTTAAATGGCAATTTGGCGCTACGCGGATATGTGTCGCTTTTGCACAAACAGATGCGGGCCTGTGAAAGGCTCCCATCGTAACCCAATGATGCTAGAAAGTGGGGAATGAAGGACAATGTTTGACATGACATGGGCATATAGCAGTATTGCAGGGGCATCATTCGTGATCGAACGACTTGAGAGCTGTAGAGATACGGGTCCCCTCAGCAAGGGGTTTGACCGGGACGGACGGGCTCCCAAGCCACGAAGTCCCGGCTGGCTAACGTTAAAACAGGCTCGGCCTTTGACCTCGCTCGTGTTTAAAATAGAGGCGGCCGAAGGGTGCATGTGATTTGCGTGTCACGAGTAAGTGATATTAAACTGCCGCCATTTAAATTTGACGTCTGTTGCGTTGCGTATAAAATTAAGAGCAGGTCCTGTTATAACCCCGTAGAGGATGCGTTGTCCGGCGGTCATTGCGAGCCACTTTATCCGGAGATGAGTTGTATCAGGGGCGGGTATCCCAGTAATGGCGCACTGAAGCTCTGGAGAATACCCACCGGCAGACCAGCAGAACTGCCAGCAGTAGAAGTTTGTTCACCATCCGGACGATGTACCGCTGGTTGAAGTCTGCCGTCGTCTGTTTGACTGAAGATAGGCTTGCGCGACGGCCTTGGTTCCCCCTGGTGGTGTAGGCGGCCCATCGGTGGCACGGGTACCCGCTGTTGGAGGGCTGCGTGACCGCGCTGTCCGGGCGGCAGCACTACATCGGCAAGTCCCAAATGGCGCACCCCAAACAGCGCCGGTAACTTCTGCCCGCTGGTGCATCCTGCCCACCAGAACTGGTTAGGTCTGGGGCTGGTACCGCTCCGCTGTGCACGCCAGGTACCGGGCCAGTATACCCGCTGTGGGGTAGGTAGATGGGGTAGGATTGTCACGTGGTTGGTACTGTATAGTTTCTGCACCATCTATCCAAAAACACGCCGGGTATTTTTCGGTCTTGCTGGTTCGCGGAATAGTACAAAACGTGCGGAAATGTCAGACGCAGCCCCGTTCTGCACGTTCCCGAGCTCTGTACTCAGAGTGGGAGGCCCGTTCAGTGACGCCTTCGGTCCTGTGCACGTGGCCACCCAGTTCCGCGGCGGTGTGTGACGACCGCGTGCCGTCGTCACCGACTTACGCCCAGGCATCGCACCTGCAGCGAGCGCCAGTGTCCGCCTCTAGCCGCGCTCAGTCCGGCCTGTCCGCGGACGCGCCGCAGGCTGTGGACCGGACAGTGGCTGACTTCCCCCCCCCCGCGGCCATGGCACCCCCCTGACGTCAGTGCAGCGCGCCTCACCGCCGCCGTGTCCGCCTCGCAGGACTGCCTGTACCACCACCCGGTGCACAAGATCTCGTTCATCGCGCAGGACATGACCGACAAGCGGGCGTTCGGCTACGTGTTCGGCTCGCCCGACACGGGCCACCAGTTCTTTGGCGTCAAGACGGAGAAGGACGCCGGCCAGGTGAGGCCCCGCGCTCGCTCGGCTTGGCCCGGCGCCCGCGCCTGGAACGGTGGGGCTCGTCGGCCTGGCTCAGGTGGCGTCTCTGGCCAGCTTGTTCTGTACTGGCATTGCAT